AGAAAAAGAGACAACCATTCCATTTTACAGATGGGAAATAGAGGCCTAGAGAAACTTCGCACATTGCCCATGTTCATCTGGGATATTGCAGAGGAGGAAAAAAATTAACCCAGTTTTACAAGTTCAGTGCTGACTCCATTGCAACTCTAAGTCTTTTGGATGACTGAAGAGATCTCCAAAAGCTGTGAATCACATGCAGACAGACATGCATAGTTCTGTTTAGAACTAGTAAGCAAAAGACAGTAATGGGCTTATATAGACAGAAGGGGTTAAAGTATCTCATGGAGGCTGCTCTCTGTGCCATGCACTCTTTCTAGCTTTGTTCCATAAGAATGTGCCAAACCCAAAGGTGACATTGCATGGTACTCCATGTGCTAAGTCAGAGTGTTTGCTTTTCCATTTGCCATTGTAAGTCTTTCTGTGCCTGCCTTATTGTTCTGTGTCTGAGAAGAATGAATAGTTAGATCTGATGAGATTTTCCAGTCTGATGAAGCTTTTTGGAAAGAATGGCCAATTGAGGAAAAGGGACAGTGCCTTGGTCCCTCACAGCAGTGTGCTCACATGGGGGGGGGGGGTAGACATAATGTACATGGCTGATTTGGAAGCTCATGGCTGATTTGGGAGCACCATCATTGCATTCACAACAGAAATACCTATTTCTTCCAGGGCTGAGCTCTTGGTTTGTCTGGTGTGTGTGTGTTTTTAAGACCTTTAGAATTTGCATTTGTAGAAGTCTTCTGCATGATACTGATTGCCTACCCTTGTAGTCATCAAGAAGCTTCCTCCAATTCCCAGGACAGTTTTGAACTTTCTATTAAGCTTCATTAAGTTACGAGTGTGATACATGAACATTCATATAGCTCTTAAATACAGAAACCAACCTGCAGCATGTGGCGGAAGGGCAAGCTTGATAGTTTTGATTTGCTACTGTGTACATCTGTCATTTCAGCTACAAAGCTATGCTGAAAGATAGTGGGCTCTCTTCTTCTAGTACATTTGTCTTCACCTGTGGAGCATCTTTAAGTTTCTTGTGGTCCAAGAATGAGGTTCCATTAGGTTCAGTCTGACTATGCTCTCAGGAGTATAGAGAATCACCCTGGGATGCTCATTACATCACAGCTAGCCCCAAAACAGTCATATAACCAGAACAGCATAAACAATTCAGTGACACAGGCAGCATTTGGAGGCTTCAGAGATGCCTTGTACTATGTGGAAGAGGTCCCATAAATCTCATGTACCAAAAGCCCCTTTTGTTTAGGAAAAGAACCCCTGCCCCATGTGCTAGAACAAATGAATACGTGCTTCTAAGACCTCAGATATCAGGTAATTGCCTAAAGTACAAGTAAGCAAGTTCCACCAAAAATCTACATATGCATGCTGCCTGGCTTATGCTGCTCAACTACAGCCACAAACTGTATTTCAGTCCAATCATATTTGAGTAGGTCCTGCCCATGTACACTAAGAGGTCTAAGGTTAGACTTAAAACATAGTAGGGCACCACTTTCAGTTTATAATGCAGGTATTGCTATGTAATGTAAACAAGGCCTACTTTGCCATGAGTCAGCACATACCCTTGAGCTATTGAGCCACTCAGTAAATGGAAGATGTCCAAACACAGAGCTTATGAGCCTGTGCAGTTCAATGCCAAGAATAAAACAAGCCCAACTTTAATGAAAAGAGAGTAATTTGTGTGTTAGGGGGAGCTTTTATAGCTTACATTGCAATTAACTCAATGAGCTCTCTTGGTGGTACGGAGGGGGAGAAGGGGGAGGGAGGCGTGGCTCCAGAACACTCTTATGCAAGGCTCTATGACACAGGTTCCCAATGTGTTTTCAGAAAGTGGGCAGAACTAGGTGCAGCTTTTGCCACTGATTGGTCATTGGAGATCTGAATGGCTGTGCAAATAAAACAACAACAACTTTGCTTTGGCAGCTGCTGCTACCACAACGCAAGAATCTTCACTGCATGACTGAAGGTAAGCTGTATGTATAGAAGAAAATATTTTTAAACTACCTGGTCATTTTAAAAAGCATCCTGTTAAGTAGAGCTTTTGCCTGAAATGTTGAAGAGTTACTACTGAAGTTATGCATAACCTCACTCCCTGACATTTTGTGGTTGGCTCCACTTTCTGAAACAGTGTGTGGTTATTTATTTATTTATTCAATTTATACCCCGCCCTCCCCATCAAGGCAGGCTCAGGGTGGCTTACATAAAATTTAAAACAGTTAAAACAATAAATTTCTAAAAACCGATTATAAAGTGCTAGTGTGCCAAGTTATAAACTGATGGCAAGACATAATAACAAATCATCTTAATAGCAGATCCTAATGGGTTACAATCCGCCTCAAGGACATAAGAACATAAGAGAACAATGTTGGATGAGGCCAAAGGCCCATTCAGTCCAACACTCTGTGTCACACAGTGGCCAGAAATACCAGTGCCATCAGGAGGTCCACCAGTGGGGCCAAGACATTAGAAGCCCTCCCACTGTTGACCCCCCCAAGCACCAAGAAGACAGAGCATCACTTGCCCCAGAGCCCCTATCTATACCTTGTGGCTAATAGCCACTGATGGACCTCTGCTCCATATGCTTATCTAATTCCTTTTTGAAGCCGTCCATGCTTGTAGCCGCCACCACTTCCTGTGGCAGTGAATTCCATGTGTTAATCACTCTTTGGGTGAAGAAGTAGAACTAGCCTTGATGTAGAACTATCTCAGTCCCTTCACACCAGCAATGCACAAGCTGCAATGGTAATGCCAGGGCACAAGGGTCCCACGGTACAGCTCCTTAATCGAATGCCTGGTGGAAGAACTCCATCTTGTAGGCCCTGTGAAAATGTAAACAGTCCCGCAGGGCCCTGTTGTCGTCTGGGAGCTCATTCCACCAGTGTGGAGCCACCACTGAAAAGCCCCTGGTCCTGGTTGAAGCCATCCTGGCATGTTTGGGACCCAGGAGGACCAGACGGTTTTGAGACACTGAGCGCAGTGCTCTCTGGGGAACATGTGGGGAAAGGCGGTCTCGCAGGTACGTAAGCCCCTGACCATAAAGGGTTTTTAAGGTAAGAACCAGCACCTTGAAGGGAATTCAGTATGTTACAGTTAGGTGAAATTGACGAACATCTCGAGTTTTGCAAGTTCGTTTCTGAATCTTTGTCAAAATTCGGTGTCAAAATGTTCTTTTCTCACGTAACAATCCCATTTGTATCTGTATAGACCTCGTTCTCGTGCTGGCTATGAGTAGCTCTACTAAACACAATTCATATCTTCAAAGACGGACAGTGTCTAGTCTTTGAAGATATGAATTGTGTTTAGTAGAGCTACTCATAGCCAGCACGAGGTCTATACAGACACAAATGGGATTGTTATGTGAGAAAAGAACATTTTGACACCGAATTTTGACAAAGATTCAGAAACGAACTTGCAAAACTCGAGATGTTCGTCAATTTCACCTAAATTCATCTATGGAATAAAGAAGAAAATTATTACAGCTTCAGGAAATTTTTCCTTTGTTCTATGTATGTGTGAACTTCTTACAGCAATCACCCTTGGTTTGGTGTTCATCATTATTAATTTGCTGTATCCTTGAATGACTGATAACACCCCTGGTCTAAGCCAACGAGCCACAGCTTGTAGCGCTAGGTCCAGATCTTCCAGTCTGGAGTCAGACTGTCCACCCAACAACAGATGGGTACCTTCTGCATACTGGTGACAACCCAGCCCATGCCTCTGGGCAATCTGGGTGCATATAGATGTTAAAAAACATCGGGGAGAGTACTGCCCCTTGGGGCACTCTGCAAACCAGTGGGTGCCTTTGGAACAGCTGTTCCCCCAGTGCCACCCTTTTCCCCCAACCTTGAAGGAAAGAGGAAAGCCATTGTAAGGCAGACCCCTGGATCCCAGTGTTGGCGAGGCAATGGATCAGTAACTGATGGTCAACCATGTTGAATGCTGCCGACAGGTCTAACAACAACAGCACCGCCAACCTGCCCCGATTCAGATGCCTCCAGAAGTCATCCATGAGTGACCAGTGCTGTCTCTGTCCTATAGCCTGGGCAGAAACCGGATTGGAAGGGATCTAATATGGAAGTGTCATCCATAAAACTCTGCAGCTGAGTTCCCACTGCCCTCTCAATTAGCTTGCCCAGATAGGGCAGATTGGAAACTGGCCGGTAATTAGACAATTTAACCAGATCAAGAGATAGTTTTTTTAGGAGGGGGCATACCACTGCCTCCTTAAATGCCCTAGGGAACATTCCCTCCGAGAGGGACTTGTTGACAATCTCCCTTAGGGCACCTCAAAGACTACTGCGACCAGCTTTAATTAGCCATGACGAGCACCAATCAAGTCTGCAGGTGGTGGGGCACACAGTTGTGAGTAATTTGTTGACTTCCTCTAGGCTGAGCAGACTGAAATAATCCAAAACCTGACTAGAAGATGTGCATGGAGCCTTGAGTTCACTCACTGTTTCAATTGTGGCGGGGAGGTCATGGCAGAGCAACAAGACTTTATCTGTGAAATAGCTCACAAAGGCCTCACAGCCAATATCCAATTCCCTAGCATTTGGTCTGCCTTGTGGCAGAGTAGTTATGGACCGAATCATTCTAAATAATTGGGCTGGGCATGAACTTGCAGGTGCAATCGTGGCAGTGTAGTACTCTCTCTTGGCAGCTTTAACTGCCATCTCATAGGATCTCATAAATGTCCTGTAGGATGCTCTTGTAGTTTCGTCACAGGCGTGCCACCACTGTCTCTCTAGCCGTCTGAGCCTTCGCTTCATTAGCCTCAGCTCCTGGGTGAGATCATCAGTCAAGGCGACCAACACCATCTCCGTCCCGTGACCCGCGTGAAAGCCGGACTGGTAGGGATCGAGGATGGAAGTGTCCTCCAGAAAGCTCTGTAGCTGTAACGCCACCGCCCTCTCAATGAGTTTGCCCAAATAGTTTGGCACAACCCTGCCTGCACTGCTTCCAAATGACTGCTGACCCCACTAGCTTTTTACCTTCATTCTTCCTGTTGTTGAGCTGGTTGAATTGCTCTGTGAATTCTGCCAGAGACTCCTCAATGGTCTCCGTCCGGGGAACCGAAAGGGAAAAACGGCGCTTGAAAGTTTTCATCTTGTTCATGGTACTCTGAATAGCAGCACAGCAGCAGGGATCTGATGGGGAAGACAGGCAAGATAGTAAGGAACTTTAGCTGGTGTTGCACCTCGAACACAATAGAAACTCTGACTTAATTGAAATCACATATTACATTTACTCCACTCAGGGTCAAACTACATGTTTAATGTTAAAAAGCAGCTGCTTGGAAGCACAGGAGATCTGACCTAGGGCCATGGTGCCAGGCCAGAGGAAGGGGTTTAAAACCTTTGCCCTCCCTGCTGTTACCCTAATAGACCACCCCAGCAGATATTAATCCTGACAGGTTAACTGTCCCCCCCCCCCAAAAAAAACCCCATGGTACACTAAGCTACATGTTTTCCTGCCTTACTGGGGTACTGGCAGCAGTGGGAGGGGGATATCTAGTGGGGAAAGGGCATGAAGGGAAAACCCTGAACCAACACTGATCCAAACTGGAGCTCACTCTAGTTGCTTTTAAAGTTAAAGACAATGTCAGGAAATCCAGTCAGAGATCTTCCACAACATGCATAGTTTAACCCTCCAGAACAATAATCTGTTCATCATACCTCATTTCACATCTACTGTGACAAATCCTTTTTGGTCTATCTTAGAATAGACTTTTAGGGCCAAACTTGACAAAATGTCAGCAGTTTCATATGTTAAAACATGGAACTGTTCTCATCTCGTGGTAGGGGGATATCCAATTTTAATAGCAAAAGCAGATCAATACATAGGGATTTCCCTCATAGATTAAGAATTTTGCACATTAGAAGTGGCACAAATATTAACAGCAATAATAACCCACAGCACTGCTTGCCACATGCAAACTTGGCAGGGGATGGATAATCAGGTGAATGGGAAACATGCTTGGAAAATGATTTTCAGTTCATCATCTGGGAAACCCCTGCCCCCTGCAAATTTAGGAGACCATTGGCTAAAATATCTTCACAAAATTCCTGCCCCTCAAAAAAGTGTCTGTGTATCAGGGTATATTTAAACACACAGACCTAAAACTGATTTTTGCACCCTGCCAAAGTGTCTACGCTGAAGTAGTAACTTTCACACTTTGAGCCTAATTTTGGCCCAAGAAGGTCCAAAATGACTCAATTAAACTGTGTTTAGAATCCCAGGTTTGTGAGGAGTAAACACATACAATTGGCCACTTGCATCTGTATGTCATAGAGTTTGTTTCAAATTGGGTTTCCTTAATCATTCGCTGTAAAAGAAGGGGAGGAGGAGGAAGGGTATAAGAAACAAGACAAGTTTATGACCACTGCTACAAACTGTGATCTGTGTGACAACTGAATGCAGCTACAGTAGCTTGATAGTACCTCTTAACAATTTAAGATACTAATCTAATTTTCCCATTGTAATTGTTCCAGAAATCACTGAATTTTAGCGTTTGCACACACTTAACATGAGTTCCCTCATAGTGCAGTTATAATGGTGGTCATTCACAATACCATTCACTGGCTTTAAGAACTAAGCCCAGCAGCACTGAATTTCCCCCCAATTTTAAAAGAAATAAAAATCACCATGATACCAAATATATAGAGGCAGTCTTTTTTTCAATGCATTTGTTGTGCTTCAACTTGTGCTGCTTGATTACAGACCAAAATTTGTTGTGCAAATTCAAGCTTATCTCCTGCATAAAAAAATTAATGTGCACAGTAGATTTCTGTGCTAGAGATGCCTCAGTTGCTAGAAGGAAAGCAATAGCAGCTTTTGAAATAATAAATTTACTTCACAGAAATGTACAGAAATCTTTTCATCCAAGAATTGGTTATAAGCCATCCCTTTACAACTTTCATAAAAATACACAGCAGTTCTAGTCTCAGTACCAACACTGCCTTCAAAAATGCAAAACACTGAAGATTATCATTGTAGCACCTAGAATTGCATTTGAGTAAATGCTGTATATAGCCACTTTTTCATTTTATTGTGCTTATTTTGATGGAATTTAAAATAAACTCTGATTAAGACTTTCAAACACAACCTATAAGCGTGACCCTGTCATGATCCTAAGCCTGAGGAGTAATGGCAGCCTATAGGTAGGGTTGCCAACTTTCAGGAAGGGCCTGGAGATCTCCTGGAAAGACATCTGATCTCCACACAGCAATCAGCTCCCCTTGGAGAAGATGGTTGCTCTGGAGGGTGGACTCTATGGCACTGTACCCCACTGAGGCCCCTCCCCAAACCCTGCCCTACCTAGGCTCCACCCCCACATCTCCAGGAATTTCCCAACTCAGAGCTGGCCAGGCTGCCTGAAGAACTCAAAAGAGCCTTTCCCTCACACAGGCCTTGCTGTCAATTTTCCTGCAGAGCTACATTTCCCAGGCACCTTCCAAGCATCAGGAAATGTGGGGAGTGGGGGAAAAGGTGGGGAAAGCAGGAGCAAGTCACTAATCAAGAGGCAGAATGTGACACAGGTTATGTAAACTCCAGTACAGGGGGGGAGGGTGTTAACTCCCTGAAGCTAGGCAGCAGTGAGGCTACACACAGAGGGAGCTTATCTGTCATTCCAAAGTCGGAGTTGAGAGGCATCGAGTATTGATACGGAGTCAGGTATCAAGTAAAGACAGTTGGCCCCTGTCAGATAGCCTTTGTAATCCGTTTTGGTAGCTGGCTGCTAACGGATTTTTTGTGTCATTTCAGACACAACCGTTTTAGCAACCAGCTGCTAATGGATTCCATTTACCTTTTCATACAAAGCCACTTGCATCCGGTTAGCAAAATGTGGTTAAGCCATTCTTGAGATAAATTGCTTTCTTCTGTTTTCATCTCTTCTTTAAGCTTCTGAATCACTGTACTGTGCTGTTTAAAATGTCTGCAGTGCTTCCAATAGTGTCGCACTTTATTTCCCATCCCCTTTTCACTGTGCAATCTTCCTCAAACTTTTTTTGGAACATTCTAAGTTGAGTGCTATAGTGCTAGACCAATATAGCCCTTCAGTGCTACAGCTGCACCATTGAGATGCCTTGGCACCACTATACTGGTTTAGCACTTAACTTAAAACATTCCAAAAAAAGTTTGAGGATGATCACTTGGCAAAAAATGGCAAGAAAAGAAGTGCATCACTTTTTGAAATGGCCAGATTGCTTCAGAGACAGCTCATTAACAGAATTAGATTTGCTGTATGCAACCTCTGTCCCTATATCGCTTTACTCAGAACCAGGCCAACAACAGATAACATCCACTTTAGAACGGTAATGTGAAAGGGGCCAGTTTTGTTGGAGAACTCTGTCTTCTAGCCAGCTTCTTTTTGTGTGAGTTTTGTCCTGTGCAGTTATACTAGTGTCTCTGTATTAATTCTGTTCCATTTTTATATCTGTTCTCTTAATTGTTATACTATTTGGTTAATAAATTAGTCTTTTTGTTCATTCTGCCTTGGTTCTTCACACTTGGGTTGAGAAATTCCTGGCGATTTAGGGGCGGAGCCTAGGACAGGCAGATTTGAGGAGGCGAAAGAGCTCAGTAGGGTTGTGATGTCATAGAGTCCACCCTCTGAAGCTACCAGTTTCTTCAGGGGGACTGACCTCTGTAGTCTGGAGATGAGTTGTAATTCTGGGAGAATGCCAGGTCTGACCTGCAGGCGGGCAACCCTATCTGCATCTCATATTCAGCCATTCAGTAGGGCACACCCTGACCAAAGAGGGTGTTGCCCGTGGGGCAGGGAGGGTGCTCTAGTCCTCCCCAGAACCAGAGTGGTGACACCCCCTTGTTTGCTAAAGGGGAAAGGAAGGGGGTGTACAGGGCTGGAGGACTCCTTGGAAGGGACTCCCCATCCACAACAAAACTCCACATGGTCCCATCCCTTTCCCATCACAATGAAGTATATGGTGTTAAAATGTGATCCACACATGGCCACAAGAGTATAGGGCCAATAAAAGAACAGATCCAGAAACATCTCAATAAAAATGTCTGATTTAGTAATATCCTTTTAACAGGTAAATTAGGGAATAACAATAATGACTTTGAGTATACTGCTTTTTATACAAGCTGTTGTTAATCCAAGTACATCCAAGAAAACACATGCAGTCACCATATTGCAAATGTTCACACATTCTCTCCCACCCCTCTACTACTCTACATGGTGTTAAAATGTGATCCACACATGGCCACAAGAGTATAGGGCCAATAAAATAACAGACAATATATTGATCCAGAAACATCTCAATAAAAATGTCTGATTTAGTAATATCCTTTTAACAGGTAAATTAGGGAATAACAATAAACCATTTCAATAGTCTTGCTCAATAGTCTAGAAGGGGTATTCTTGAACATCACCTATAATACCTGAATAAGAGGAATTTCATTCAGAAGCAGCAGTCAGATATGCTTGTGCACATTTTGCAGAAATGTAGTATATAAGTTACTTCTTATAAATATGCTCCAATGGGAGTTCTTGCATTTCACATACTGCAACCAGCTTATTATAAAACACCAGTAGAATAATAAATTAATAGATTCAGAATTTACAAACTTACCCCTGGACTATTATTGGCCCACTTGTGTCTGACTTACAACTATGAAAACTCATCTAGCTATTTTTGCATCAACTCCACAATTTCCAGCTGAAATAATGGGGATCTGAGGCATGTCAGTAGTTTTAGCATTTCTGAAAATTGGGTTGTATTCTTTCCTAACCCCTCTCTTCATTTCACCTCTTAGGAAGAAAGATTTGATAGGCTAGACTGTAACAACGGATCACATATCACATGTATCCATAACCCTTTCCCTTGAAATAAGTAGACAAAGGGAACACCAGTACCAAGTGCTCATATCATGCGACAAGCCATTTATAAAATACTGACACTACCATGTTTAGCTAAAACAGTGACAACGGGTGCAACCACAAACTACATGCAAAAGAGGGGGGTCTCAGGATTAAAGGTTCTACTCTATCCACACAACAACAGACTCTTTTGGGTTTTATGGAAACAGGCACACAAAGCAACTGCTTCTTAATTCAAAACAGCTAAATGCAAACATGCTCTGGATAAGATTATGTATTGTAAAATCATCCCCATATTGATCC